CATTCATAAACTCAAGAATAATCTATTAAGTATAGGACAACTTTAAGGAAAAGGCCAAGCTATTTGGATTCAAAATGGGAAGTGTAAAGTTTATCATTCAAAATGGAGATTGAAATGAGTGGAAATAGGATGTTTTTCTTGGTAGCCACTATGATACCGAAAAATCCTACATGTTTTCAGATGGAGTTAGAGAATGAATCTCATCTTTGGCGCTATCAATTTGGTCATTTAAGCTATAATGGCTTAAGGATGCTTTCCTCAAAGAAGATGGTTAATGGGTTGCCCTCTATCACGAGCCCAAAGGATCTATGTACATATTGCTTAGTGGGAAAGCAACATCGAAGTGCTATGCCAAAAAAATGTTTGTGTAGATCATCAACCAAGCTTCAACTTGTTCATGCAGACATATGTCGGCCTATTAAACCAACCTCAAACAACAATAAGAGGACTCAAGGCATAGGTAGACAATTGACTGCAACTTGTACTCCTCATCAAAACAAAGCTATTGAGAGGAAAAACATAACAATAATGGATATGGTGTGGTCTATATTGGTTGAGAAACAAGTTTTCAAGGTATTTTGGCCCGAAGCTATAAGATGGTGTGTGTATGTTCTCAACAGGTGTCCTACAGTAGTTGTGCAAAATAAAACTCCAGAAGAAGCATATAGCGGAGTGAAACCCACAGTGGATCAACAAAGGAGCAAGTTTGACGACAAAAGCAAGAAGTGTATCCTGTTGGGAATGACCGATGAATCAAAGGCTTATCGCTTGTTTGATCCAATCTTCAAGACAGTCATTGTAAGCAAAGATGTAGTATTTGAAGAACAAAAGAGTTAGAATTGGGAGAAGAATGAAGAATAATGCAAGTAGGATATTTTACACTGAGGAGAAGATGAGGAATATGAAAGTGAGACTGAGGAGCATGAAGAAAAAAAAATATTGATGTTTCCAACTCCATGGGTACTGCTGCTCCTATTAATGAACTGCATAATAATATGCATGAGTTTCTAGTTGAAAGGAGGGTTAGAAGAAATAGAGGAGAGTAAATTTGAGTGACTAATTATGAAAATGGAGAAGGCTTGTCAGATGAAGATGGTTTGAATGCAATTAAGATGGTAATCAAGGATGATCCACTTTTCATTTGAGGAGGTTGCTAAGAGCAAGAAATGGGGGGATGCAATGATGAAAGAGATGGAGTCAATAGAAAAAAAATAAGACTTGGGAGTTGACTGACTTGCCAAGTGGAGTAAAGCCCATTGAAGTTAATTGGATTTTCAAGACCAAACTTGACGAGAATGGAGAAATAGACAAATTCAAAGCAATGTTAGTGGCGAAAGGATATACTCAACAATATGGAGTTGACTGCACATAGGTGTTTCCTCTTGTGGCCATGCTTGATATTATTTGTGTTATACTTACTATGGCAACTCAATATTGGAATGTTTTTCAATTAGACGTGAAGAGTGTTTTTCAAAGATGATATTTATGTGCAACAACCTACTAGTTTTGTGAAAAAGGGTGAAGAAGACATAGTTTACAAATTAAGAAAAGCTTTGTACGGTCTTAAACAGACAATAAGAGCATGGTACAACAAGATAAATACACGGTTTACAAAGTCAAAGGAGGGAGGTCAACTTTTATTTGTAAGTCTTTATGTTGATGACTTGATATATACTGGAAATGATTGGAGCATGTGTGATAAGTTTAGAAGCTTAATTATATCAGAGTTTGATATGTTCGATTTAGGAAGGATGATGTATTTTCTTGGAATAGAAGTTATGCAGAGTCCAAATGAAATTTTTATATGTTAAAGAAAATATGTGAGGTTCTAGCAAGGTTTGGGATGGAGAATAGTAATGTAGTGAAAAATCTCATTGTCCCGGGCACAAAACTTTCAAAAGATTATGCATGAACCAAAGTTGATTCAACCATGTTCAAGTAATTAGTTGGCAACCTTATATATGTGACTGCAACTCATCTTGATCTTATGTATGGAGTAAGTTCAATTAGCATATTCATATCTTGTCCTATTGGGTCTTATTGGCTTGCAGCAAAACGTATATTAAGGTACTTGAAAGGAACAACTAAACTAGACATTTTTTACAAGAAATGGGGAGTACATATATTATGACATACTCTAGCAGTGACTTTGCCAGAGATCTAAATGACCGAAGAAGCACTTTTGGCTTGCTGTTTTTACTTGGTTCCGAACAATTTCATGGTCTTCAAAGAAACAATCTATAGTGACATTATTTGCTACCAAGGCTGAGTACATAGTAGCTTCATTTTGTGCTTTTTAATGTATTTGGATTACAATAGTATTGGAAAAGCTTAGCCTTACAAAGCGTAAGAGCACTTTGATTTTGTGCAACAACAATTCAACAGTAAAATTACCCAAGAATCTAGTGTTTCATGGTAAAACAAACATATTGACATAAAATATTTCAGTTTTTGAAAGACTTCGTAAAGGATGGAGTGGTCAGGTCGAGCTATTGTAATTAACAAATTCAAGTTGCAGACATAATGATCAAGCCTCTTAAATATGAGCAATTCTTAAGGCTACGTAGCATATTGGACATGATTGAGGCTTCAGAACTAAACTAAATACTATAACATTATGGTTTAAGAAAAAGAATGTTGGCTGTTAGGAAAGATAGTAGTTGCTTTTACTTTGTTATTTTTCTGTTAATCAAATAATTTATTAGTTGTAGTCCTATTTCTTAGGAACATGCAGATAATTAAGGATTAGATGATTTTATCTAACCACCCATATTCTTGAGCATGTAAATCGTAGATGTGGTTATTATTTTATTTGTATAAACTATAAAGTCAACCTATCATTTTGTATTCAGTAACACATTCCTTCAACATATATCTTTAAAGTACAGTACATTTTTGTGTTCAACATAATTACCTTTCATCCTAAAGTGAAGAGAGTTACTCTCTCCACCATCACATATTGCTCCATGCACCTCTCCATTCCTCTTTTGCCCTTCAGAAAATGAATGTTGATATCTGTTCACGGATATTGACATCATCTAAGAATATTTATAATTTCCATGGATGGATGGATGTTTCTTTCCCTAAGCCTGTCTATCCACTAGTGCACCCCCGCTGTTTTGGTGGAAACATATGAGAAGGGTGAGAGTGTCGCCTATTATGTTGATGATCTTCAAGTACATAAACGGCTTAAATATTCTCTTGCTCATATTGGGACTCACGCTTTTCTGAAAATGATTCTGGTAAAGTATCTCTGATTTTTAGTTTCTTATGCCACTATTTACTTGCATATATGAATGCTTTATTTGTTTATTTTACACATTCTTTATTTGTTTTGCAACATAAAGCATAAGTCATCACGATTGATGACCTCAAATCTCTCACGACTTCTTGTAATGCTTGTTTTTATTTATAACAATAGCAAATTTTAATAATTATCAACTCTTTCTAGAAACTATCTTTTCTTTGTGTAAACTGATTTTTCATATCATTACAGATTAGATTTAGAGGGTTTCTTTGTTGGATATTCATGAAGTATGGTGATGTTTACATGGTCTTGGTTGTTTAGATCTACTTTGTATATTATTTATTGAGTTTTCTTTGCCTTATCAGTCATACTAAATTTTCTTTTGTCCAAAATAATAGTTTTTTTTGAAGGAACATCTTCGATTTGTTGATAATAGTAATCATATCATGCATGTCCTAATCTTTAATTTGAACGAAAAGAAATTGACTTCTGTTAGGATATAGGATGATAGAATAGATGGGTTTATAAGTTAAGGGTATGGGGTGTCGGTTGTAAAGGGATGAGCGGGTCATAACTGTTCTATAAATAGAACTCTTGTAACTCTGTAGGGGTATCGAATATACTTTGTATAAAGTCAGACATTTTAACTTGTAGAGAGGAGTTATGTCCTCAACTAGGGAGGTTATGCTCCCAACTCATTCTTGTAAAGAGGTCTCTTTTCCTGAATAATACAGGAAACCCATTCTTTCTTTCTGTCTCCATCTTTTGATTGAGTTCTTGTTAGGTTCCAAATCCAAGAACCTAACAACTTCTTATTTGAAACTGTAACATTATAAAGTTTTAACTTCCATGATATTGTAGTGTCTTCTTTCAAGTGAACAACTTCATTCATGCATACATACATTCTGGAAATATCCTTATTCAAATCAAAGCCTCGTGTAGTTTTCCTTCATGTGGGTATGAGTGTAGTGAGGAGGTGTAGAGAGTATTTGGTAAAAGTTAAATTAATTGTAAGACATTTTTGAAATTAAAAAGGTAGTTAGAAAGTGTAGAGAATACGAGGTGATGGAGGTAGCAACTCTCTAATGTTAATTGTCTGCTTAAAAAATATGCAAGACCCATAAGTTTGTGATATTACGAAATATTCGGAGAGGTATTACTCAGTGAGTCTTGTAAAAGTTGTTTTTTTTTTTCCGAGAACATCCCATGATGCAATAATTTTTTAAGAAATTATCCACAACCTAAATGAAAGAAAAATTGTGGTTACTGAAAATTGACTTTGAAAAGACATATAACAATGTGGTTGGAACGTAATTGGTACAGGAATCAATTGCCTTAAAACTAAAGTAATTGAAAAGATAAAAGAAAAAAAAATTAAAATAACATTTTAATCCATAAAAAAAATTTAATCATTCTGGCTATTGTCGTTTTTTGTTGAAAGTCACGTAATTATTATTTTTGTCAGTTAGATCCTATTTTTAAAATAAAATAATATATATATATAATATAAATTAAATTAAGTGTAAATTAAATTTAATAAAATATAAATTAATTTTATTTTTAATTAATTAAATTTTAATTTTAATTTTTTAATTTTTTAATTTGTCGTGAGTAATGAATAGTGATTCTACTGTACCAACCAACACTCAATTTATTTTATTTATAAACTGTTATTAAATAATAAACAGATACTAAATAATATGTTACCATTATCTAAATGGCTACCTATTTAAAATATTCACTGACAGGGAGGATGGATATTTTTGCCATTGAGAGGAAAGGAAGGGCACCGCGTGGTTTATCTATTCCCATCCATTTCCAAGAAGAAGGAAAACCAGCGCAGAGGAGATCGGAGATACCATAAAGATGCGGTCTCAGGTGTTCTCGCTCTCAGCCAATACCAGCTTTCTGCGCCAAGCTCTTCCACTTCTCGTTAAACCCTACAAAACCATTCTCTCGCCCACTGCTCTCACTTCCTCATCTGCTTCACAATCCCTCCTTTGCAATATTCCACTTCTTGCACCCGTCAACCTATTCCCCTCCAGTTCTCTTCGCAACTTCACCTCACGAGCCACCCATGTCAATGACGCTGGCTCCGTCGACTTGCCTCTTATTCAGTCCATGCACAACAAGGTATTCTTTCCCACGCATAATTAACAAGATATTTGGTCCATACACAACAATATTTTCTTACACATCTTTTATTAAATTTCATTTTCCCCAACAGATAAAGGAACAACTCAATGCAGAATCTGTCACCGTGAAGGATGCTTATGGCGATGGTCGGCATGTTAGGTGAAATTTTCTTTCAACCCATGAATTGAAATTTTGTGTCTCAGAATTTAATTTAGTCTGTTAATCATATATTTTTTGGAAGGGATTAGATATCCTCTAAAACATAGAAACTGAAATGCAATAAAGTGCTTTAAGAACCTCAAAAGGCAATAAACTAGTAAACCTCCCTAACCCCTATCAGAAATGCAAACTCTTAAAATAGACCATGAGCTGAACACCAGAGAAAGTCCACAGACTGGATAACACAACATATATTGTTGCAAACAAAAATATATACACTTTACTCCTCTCACTCACACCCCTGAATGGTCTTGACTATTGAGCTGTACTCCCAGGCCTATTGGCGGATACCTCCATTTTCATGACTAAACTACACGAATATCTCTTGTTGAGTTGCATCACGAGTTGGGTAAGGTTCAAATTTAAATACAACTATACAAGCAACCTTGTACCGGTCAACATCAGAATACCTAACAATTTGAGTTTTTCTTTTATCTTTGTGAACAAGGTTTTGCCAAAAGCATTCTTAATGTATGTTTGGATCCTCATGTCTGCATTCCTATGGTCTTAACAGGGAAAGTTTAAAAGTTTATAAAGGCAGTGTGAAAATGAGTCACAAAGAGATAACATAGCATACCACCTAACTGTAAGGATCTCCCAAGGTCTAAATACAACTCTCCTTGATTAGGTACAAGTTTAATACTTGGATCCATTGGTGTCTATTAGCTTAGCTTTTAACATTCCCGTTGTTCTAAAATATCTCGAGCATATTTTCTCTGTGATATGACCAAAACACCTTGGACTGAACAACTTTAATACCAAGGAAATATTGCAATTGACCAGGTTCTTTTATCTGGAAATGTTAAGCAAGACATTTTTTTAGATCCTTATCATTATTTGTGATAACACTTAAGATTAATAATAGAGAAAATATACTTTAGAGGGCTTGAATACATCTAAGATCTCATATTTATAGTTATAGAATTTTGATACCATGAGAAGAGGACAAATCAAAGGCCTGAACTAGAAACCTAGATACAAAACTAGGTACAACTCATGGGTACAACAGGTATTAGTTTCCAATACAACTACTTTCTACCCAAATTTAATATTTATTTTAACAATAACAATGTCATTCACATATGTGTGGAACCAAACACACATGGGGAAGATTGTATGCAAGGGAATGATGATGTATGTTTTTGCTATATACGGCTCTATTTTGAGGAGTATGAAGGCATCAAGTTTGATGAAGCATATCATTGGATCCATGAACGGTTGGAATTGGCAAGACAAGTAGTCTCTATGAAACACACATGGATATATCTAATTATGTTTTTATTTCATTAGAAAATGTTTGCTAGATAGGAAACGACTCTAGTTGATTTTTAACTAACCAAATTGAAGTATATTTAGAATAATCATTAATAAAAGAACTACTGAATACTGCACCTTCTTTGGTGGAAACCTTGTGACTTGGAGGAGCAAAAAATAGTAGTAGCCAAATCAAGTGTTGAAGTAGAATTTCAAGCAATGGCCTAAGAAATATCTCAAACTTTTATGACTGAATATTATATTGGAAGAACTAACTATAAAATGGGATGAACATATGAGGTTATATTATGATAATAAATTTGCGGATTAGAATAACTCATAACCCGGTGCAGCTTAATAGAACTAAATGTATTGAGGTAGTCAAACACTTTATCAAGGAAAAGTTAGACAGTGGTTTGATTAACACTTCATTTGTGTCCACTCAAAACAACCTTATAGACATGAACTGCATTACCTTTGAAAGAATTATTATCCAAGTTAAGAATGAAGAACACTTACAAACTTGGGAGAGTGTCAAAATTGTGCTGCTCATTGTGTATTTTGGAAAGTTTTTTATGGAGTATATAGTTGGTTTAGTGCAATAACTTTAATTTTGTTAATTTTATTTGAACTTTGTTAATAGTTAAGTTAATTAAATACATGTTTGGCCTTTAATAATTGTCATTTGCGATTGTTATAGGAATAGTTAATGTTAATATGCGATTATGCTTGAAAGAACCACTAAAGATTTAAAATTTATAAAGCAAAAAACTAAACATAAAAGGTTCCTTTCAAGAATAATTGTATTTTAACATTAATTTTTCACTTAATAAACACATGACAATAATTTTTGTGCCATCAGCTGCTTTTGGGACTTTGATCACAGCTCGGCTGGGACATAACCCTAATATGTGTTGTGATGTTGCAGTATTGATGTGGTATCTACTGCCTTTGAGGGACAATCAGCAGTTAATAGGCAAAGGATGGTCTATAAAGCTATATGGGAGGAGCTTCAGAGTGTAGTCCATGCAGTTGATCAAATGACTACTAGCACTCCTGCTGAAGCAGCCGCAAGAAGTGACAGAGGATAATGAGAGCATACTTTGACTTCTTATTCACGCTCTTTATAGATTTTTGCATTGCTGTTTTCTAGGAATGAATTCCTAATTTTAAACTACCATTACAGTATTTCACATGCTACTGAACATCAGGTTTTCAATGCCACACTTCCTTGGAGTTTCTACATTCTATAATTTGGCAGTCAATTACTTGGCCAATCTGCCTAGGTGAGGTCTTTTACATGGATTAAGTTAAATAAAAAAAAATGCAATAATCTCTTGTTGTATATCATTTACGGACAAAATTATTGACATCTAGATCCTTAAAAATATTTGTCCATTCCTACTATACTACGTGATCTTATAATTAATTACGTTGAGATTAAAATCTTTGTACTTTCATACTATAAGTTCTACGTCGTCAATCAATTAAAATTTATTCATAATGTCTTTTAAAAAATATTATTGTATTAATCAATAAATTTACAACATATGAAAATTTTATTTGAACCACGAAAAATAGGAAAAGTCAATTAATGATGTACGAAGATTTTAATTGAACAATAGCGTAAAAATATTTTATGTACCAATCATTTTTTTACTTTTATTTATCTGTTGATAATAATACTTTGACAACATTGTTTGACAACATTTTGACATGGGTCACGTGTTAAAATGTGATTGTTTCACATGGAAAACAAATATGAAAAATTAGAATGACGTGAAAACAGAATTGAGGACAGGGTTTTAAGTGTGGGGTTTATTTTCACTTTTTAGAATTTGAAACTGAGGCAAGTTTAGAGAGAGAACCCAAATCCTAGAGTGCTTCCTCCCACCCACCCAACCTACGAGAGAAGGAATTCCCTCACACCCATCCATTGCCGCCAGAGTGTCGTCGTTTACGTCAATCCACCCACCCACCAATCTTCGTGCGTTTTCCTATTGTTTTTGCACCATGAGTTTTACTTTAATATTTTAATGTAATGTTAAATTATAATGTCACATTAATGGAAAAAGTTATTATTTGTAATGATTTTCAACTTAAAAGTGATGTGTAAACAATTATTATCCCATTTATGAAGAATTTCGTGGCCAAAGAACCATATTTAGTAAAACTCATGGTGTAGAAACAACAGTGGTAGCAAAGGAAAAATAAGTGGGTACTTCAGACAAATGTTTTGCACAGGCAGGTCAACTACGAAGATCACACTCATTTTGGAGTGCCTAATTTATTTCTCATCATTTTTTCAACTTAAAAGTGATGTGGAAATAATTATCATGCCATATATATAGAATTTCATGGCCAAGGAACCATATTTAGTAAAACTCATGGTACAGAAACATCAGTGGTAGCAAAGTCAAAATAAGTGGGTACTTCAGGCAAAGGTTTTCCACAAGAAGGTCAAATAGGAAGATGACACTCATTTTGGAGTGCCTAATTTATTTCTAATCATTTTTTTCAACTTAAAAGTGATGTGGAAACCATTATTATGTTATTTATATTGAATTTCATGGTCAAGGAATCATATTTAGTAAAACTCATGGTGCAAAAACAGCAGTGGTAGTAAAAACAAAATAAGTGGGTACTTGAGGCAAATGTTTTGCACAAGCAGGTCAACTGTGAAGATCACACTCATTTTGAAGTGCCTAATTTATTTCTCATCATTTTTCCAACTTAAAAGTGATGTGGAAACAATTATCATGCCATATATATAGAATTCCATGACCAAGGAACCATANGGAGAGTCCACGGTCTTTAATTTCTCAGGAGCATTGTCATCTAGTATTTCCCTTTTTAGGCTGTACTACGTTGAATCAAATTTGAAGCTTGTTGCTATTCAACAAAGATTCTTTCGCTCCTTTATCAACAGTGACAGGGTATCAATATCAAAGAAAAACATGATTCTGTCTAGAAAGATTTGTTTTGTAGAATGTTCAAAAATCACTTGAAAGATTTTGAGTAGCATCTCTAGAAATTAAAGACCAAGATATGAAAAAAAAAACCTTCACTTCAATGAAGATGGAGATATCATTGATGGGCATACTACCTTGACGAAAGGAGAGTCTACAAGAAGATGAGAAGATACAGTTTCAGAGGACTTCAACAATCCTCCGTACATCTCCTTCGAAGCCCAACTAGAAATAGCATCATTCATTCGGTATTGTGTAGTTAACCTAGTGGTGAGAATCCCTTCATGTAAAGTTGCAGCTCTTTCCAATAGAGATATTCTTAGACCACCTTCCAAGGCCTTTCTAGATAGTATGACAGGAGCAAGTTGGCATTGATCACCAGCAAGAATACACCGCTTACCTTGCAATATAGGAATCCAGCAAGAGGGTTCAATTGCCTGTCCAGCTTCATCTATGACGACCAAGTCAAAAGTATCTAGTCTTCGAATCAAAGGGTCAGCTGCTCCAGTATTAGTGGCAAGCACAACCTGAGCACTGGATAGAACTTCATTTACTATCTGCTTTTCCTTTTTCTTCAGTGACCTTCCCAGCTGCTTCAGAAGTTGCCGTATGCCCGCAGCTAGTGAATCATCCCTTAAACAATGTCTTAGATCTTTTCTTAAATCTGACTTCTTTCTCTCATATTCTTCTCGAAAACTTGCAAGCTTAGCATTTACAATTTCTTCCAAAGACTTCGATGCCACTGTTTTTGATATCCGGGCTGGATTTCCAACCCGCACAACATTTAATCTGACATTAGAAAGTTTTTCAACCATGTTATCTACAGCTGCATTAGTAGGTGCTGTAACAAGAACCCGTTCACCTTGCTGAACAGCACATGCTATAAGATGCTTGAGCAAACCAGTCTTGCCTGTACCGGGAGGGCCTTGGATAACTAACACAGGCCTCTTTTTATTCAAACCCAGTGCAATTGCTCTCCCTTGAGAATCATCAAAGTTGTCACTTCCTAAAATTCTATAAGATTTTTCTTCTGCCCAGTCAGCAAAATTATTCTTCTCTAGCCATGCAACATCTTCCCCATCTCCAAACAGAGTAGCAACAACAGAAATTGAAGGATTCTTCTTACGCAAACCATTCTTCTGAAGCAGCATTAGAGCTTCACAGTTCCGCTGATAAAGTCAAAAGCTTTATAAATTATGTGTATTTACACATAAATTAAGTGAATTAAGCACTACAATTGTAATGAAATTAAAAACCAGAACCATCACTGTGAATTATCTTAATTATATTAGTTTGTACAAAGCTGAGATCACCAGAATGTAAAATTTCTTTTTGGCAGAATAAGTAGGTGCTGGGTAGTTAACTCGTTTAAAAATTTCACAATGCCTGACCTTTCCATAGCAAGTGGCAGAATGTTGTAACCACACGACATGTTTTACCACACAACTCAAAATGGTAATTGAATTTATTACTACGTATTCACTTTATCAACATATAATAGTTAAGTTATTCACTTTCATAGACCACAAGAGCACTGAAGAAATAAGTTCACTAAGGACAATTAGTACTATTTTTCACCCTCGAAGGCAAAGGAAATATAGCAAAAGTTAAAAAATAAGGTGCTGACCTATGCTTTATTAACAGACTAGGGTCATGCNTTTCTCATCATTTTTTCAACTTAAAAGTGATGTGGAAACAATTATCATGCCATATATATAGAATTTCATGGCCAAGGAATCATATTTAGTAAAACTCATGGTGCAGAAACAGCAGTGGTAGCAAAAGCAAAATAAGTGGGTACTTGAGGCAAATGTTTTGGACAGACATGTCAACTACGAAGATCACACTCATTTTGGAGTGCCTAATTTATTTTTCATCATTTTTTCAACTTAAAAAGGATGTGGAAACAATTATATTATGCCATTTATATAGAATTTCATAGCAGAGGAGTCATATTTAGTAAAACTCATGGTGCAGAAACAGTAGGGAAGACGCACGAAAATGGGTGTGTGGGTGGTAAACGTAAACGGCGACATTCCGGCGACATTCCGGCGACAATGGGTGGGTGCGAGAGAAGTCCTTCTCTCGTAGGTTGGGTGGGAGGAAGCGCTCTAGAGTTCGGGTTCTCTCTCTAAGATTAGGTTTTCTCTCTAAGCTTGCCTTAGATTCAAATTCTGAAAAGTGAAATTGAACCCCCGCACTTGAAACCCTGTCCCCAATTCTGTTTCTACGTCATTCTAATTTTTCATATTTGTTTTTCATGTGGACGAGTCACATTTTGACATGTGGCCCGTGTCAAAATGTTTTCAAGCAATATTATCAAAGTATCATTATCCTAAAGTAAATTATCCTAATTTATATTTTATATTATGGTCTTTGAACTTTTACTCAACTTAAATTCAATATGTGGTATTTTTAATTAGAGCACAATCCCTTGCTAAAGAGGGGTATGAAAAAAATATTCAAATTCGTATTAGTTCAATCCACTTTAATTTAAAATGGATCGTTAAAGTTTCTATTTTTAAATTGAAAATTTTAAATTAAAGTTTCTATTTTTAAATTGAAAATTTTAATTCAATTAATTGAATTTAGATTGAATATGGATTGAATATTTGTTTAGATTAAAAAATAAAATAAAAGTAGTGTTCACCTTAGGAACTGAATCGGTCTAAGACAATGTTAAATAGTTTGGCATCGTTAGGTCTAAGACAATGATATTCTTAACGACTTGTTCTACAAAGCTAATCTTAATACCTTACCCCTCAACTTATAAGTACAAAATCCATACAACATATATAAAATTTAGTTATCTTTTATATACAATGACCAAATTAAAATTTAGAAAAACGTGAAGATCATCCTATGTTGTATGTCTAACCTAATTATTTTAGTTTGGATTTGAAATAAAACAAATCAAATAACTATATAATTTACATTAATTTAATTGGTTAACTTTATATTATTGATTTCATCATATTCATGTTTTTGTGTTCGTTAGAATCGATCAAATCCTGTAAACACGTTCAGAGTAAAAGATCACAAAATCTAAAACAATCAGTTTTTTAAATTACACCCAATATGAAAAGCAAGGTCTGTAATGTGAAATCAATCATGCTATAAATGTCATTCCAATTTTCAGGGTTTCAGTTGTTCCCAATTGTCATGCTCGTGCGGTACTTTATATGTTACACAATGTTGAATTTATGAATTGCTATACAGCTATACAAGTTTTGACGACACGAAAGAAAAAAAGAAAGAAAAAAAAACTATTCACCCCTACCTCCCGTCCAACATTAAATGCCCATAGAGCAATTGATAGGTCATTTTTAAATGTGTTTCATGCTACTATTGCACACTAATTAATGGAAGGTAATATTGGATTCATCCCAAGCCCGTATCCTCCAAAACTACCTGGTTCTGCATGCTTCACTCTACCAAAGTGTCTAATATGACGAAGAAGTCTTGCTAAGAAGGTATTGTGGCATATAGTCGAGCTGTCACAGACCAAAGCCACATGTTTGCGTGCTCTTGTGATGGCAACGTTGATTCTTCTGCTATCCCCGAGGAATCCAACAGCTCCCAATGTGTTTGATCGAACCTATTTTATTATTATTATTATTATTATTAACGGGGGAAAACAAGTACAAATATGTCAGTTCATGTGGAAGATCATAATCAAATTGTTTTTCAAATTTAGAATCTCTTACATGGATCACGTATCTCAAGATTTGAAGGTTCAATAGTAAACTGGTAGTAGCAACTAAGTGTCAACAAACATTAAAGAATAACTTTACATAACATCATATGTAGAAGTTATTTATGAACAAGTTAAACGAGATAGTGATTAGAATAGGACATTATGGAATGAATACAGTGACAGTATCAACGTTTAAGGAGTGAGTTTACATAAAGCCTTCATAGGATGGTGGTTAATGACAGAATCGAGGTTCTATGGACCAAGTGATTAAAAATGTTTGATCCTTGTTATCACTATCTTTTAATAAAAGTAAAAATAAAAAAATTCTATTGGGTCTCAAACCCAAAAACCTCTTGCATAAGGAAGCACAAGAGAAATAAAAACCATTCTTTTAATGTAATGACTAAAATAAACTAAGATGACCAAACTTCAGTTATTGAAAAGAGGTTATATGATGAAATCTTCAATAGGAATAGGATGTAAGGAACTTCATTTAACTGGCTTCATCCTACTCTAAATGGTGTATTGTGATCATAATTTAACTTTCACATGTTTATTGACACTTTCCAAACATTTATTTTTGGGAAAATTGCACTACCTCTTAAAGTCTTTAGATGATACTCACAACCCCTTTAATTTGTACAAGTGCTCCTTAATTATATTTAAAGTTTCACCTTGGTAATATGTTTTTTTATCAAATGCATTACATATTGCCAGAGTAAACCTCTGAATATGATTGAAGAATAGCACCAACAGTACTGTAGGTACTGTATGTAAGTTTTTTCCCTTAGATAGGCATTTACTCTGTAATGTGATTTTAATAAAGTGACACATATACTCCTTTATTACTCCATTTTTTCCAAGTGCCCGATTGTGTGTGTTTTAAGTTCAAGATTAATTAATTTTCCTTAATTATATCCTTACTTTCCATCAAACTTTTAATTAATTTACATACTTATCATAAGAGTGGAAATGAAAAACAACTCAATTGCATTTATTGTATAATATAAATGAAAAGGCTAAATTAAGAACTTCATAATTATTTTAGGAAAAAATTTGTTGTATTTCTTGGTATGTGAACAAAAAACTTACATGATACTTAAAAAGAAACAAATGTGGTATTGTATAGGGAATGGTTTTTCTTTTAAAACTAGAAAGGATATAATTGTCATTTAAGAAGACCTTAAGAGAGGTAAGGGCAAATTTTCTTTTGATTTTTCATTAAGTAATAACTTATTTTTATTTGTTAACCAAAACATTGTTGAAATGATGGATTAAAAATTGGATTTGGATCATACCATCGATAAAATTACCGCATCAGCTTCCCGACCTTGAAAACTGTCAATGGTTGCAACCTCTGTGCCTGCGGCTTCTGGAAACTCATCCAGCCTGTCCCTCAAAAGTTGTACTTGAGCAACATAGGGAGATTGCACTGCAATAGCAGCTGGGCTAACACCTGCATTTCCGGTTCAAATTAACACGGAACTTACATCAGCAAACACAAATGACATAAGTTGAATCAAAAGATTTCAAAAATGTGAAAGACAACTTACTTTGCTAAAATATGATAACAAAAAGTGATATGCAGTAATATCATTTTCTTTTTCCTTGAATTGAAAATACTATGCTCAAATATTAAGGGGAGGATTGCACTACAATAGCATAGCGGTTAGGTGAACGCCACATTTTAGATTCAAATTAAAAAGAAAATCTTACGTCAGAAAAACAGAAAATAAGGTTTCAAAATTTGAAAGCCTGAGTGCATGGCGAAGTATGATGGCATAAAATAAAATGCAGTAATATCCTTTTTCTTGGATTAAATATAATATGCTTTAAATATTAATGAGGTTTGGAAGCAGTAGAGAGACGCTGACACTATTTTTTCTACTCTTTCTATACATTCTTAATTATAGTGTGAAAACCTAAATTTTGACATCTGCTACTTGGCAAGACGGTTAATTTTAGAAGATGTCGAGGAATGAATTAATTATCTGTTTGTAACAGTAGATTTTGGTCTATGAAGAGAACAGACTCATGCACCAAGGTATGGACGAAAACACCTTTAGGAATAGACCACATTGATCTAATGTTAAAGGTCCATTCACTATAGTAGTTGGGCGTCGGGGTAGTGACCAAAATACCATTTATTGCCCGCCTGTCATCTTTCAATCTTAATCATTGTGTTTTGTTCTTGCAATTTCTTCGTTAATCGTAAAACATTCACAAGGGGAAATGTTTTATATTATAAGCTATTGCCAAAATTTAAACCTTAGTCAAATGTCATTACCAGAATAAATTAAGGAAAAGACATGCTGCAAAACTATCTCAGCTTCTCCTTCATTATAAAGTGAGCCTGTTCCAGCTGGATCTAGATGCTCTTCGCAACCAACTGACAGACTTCCATATGGCATTCTGGTATCTAACAATAGTAGTGGGCATTGTGTTATCCAGGTA